ATGTTTATGTATTTGAATGTAATACAATTGATATGGATGGTACATTTAAAACGTGTTGTTTTATGTTCCAAAAATAATACGACGAACGATTGTAAATCGTAAAAATTATAGTAAACATTAAAAAAAAAAAAAAAAACGTTTTTAAACATATTATAACTAGATGTTCGGATACAGACAATTCTAAGACCATAAAAATGAAAAAGAAATAATAAAATAAATAATATTATATAGTTGCCTAATTCTATTTGTTTTCAACTTTTTTTTAATTTTTTATAACTTAAGAATACTTCTATGTACTTTTATACTTCTATTTCTAAGAATACTTAGATATGTAATACGAATTGTGCTTTATACAGTATATGGGTACTTAAGTAATACTTTGAAATTAATAAACTAATATGTACATCAATACATATACTATATATACATAATAATAATACTAGTTTTTAATTTTATTACTTTGGGACATTTAAAACTTGAAAATACGTATTTATCACGTCGGGGGTTTTTTTTTAGTTGTTGGAATGAGAAACCGCGGGACTCCCGACTTGTGTCCCTGCTGCACAACGGCATGCAAGTGGATGGTTTTTATGGCCGTGTATACAAATGGCCCCCATAAAGGACTAACCTTAAGGGTGTGCTACTCGCGTAAGGTAAAGTATATATTTATATGATATAATATGACCTCCGTCCGTTGTGTTGAAGGAAGCCTTTGCTTCCGTGTACGTGTCCTAACGGACCCCCACGATGTCGGGGATATTTTAGTGACAAAAGTACTTGTCCTTGTCACGAAAATAAGACCTTGAGCAAGAGAAAAAAGAAGGAAATAATGTATATTCTCTTGACACACGTAAAAGGCTAAACTAAAACCGATTCGCACAATCATATCAACGCTAGTCGGTTTGTTGCTGTCGCAAGAGAGTGGTTCGTGTTGAAGCTGGTGAGTACTTCTCATTTTTAATTTGTTTATGCATTTTCTCTGAGAACTTTGTAATTTAAAATATCTTAAAATCAATTATAAATTAGATATTTAATAGGGATACCTTGCATGAAATGTTCATATAGTGCTAATATAGCCTTTACTTAAATTATTTAGTATTCTTAACATAATAATGAAGTTCTATTTTGGTAATTGTTTTTAAATTAATTAAAAATATTCATTCAAACAATAATGAATAAAACATATATTTATTCGAAAATTTTACAGTTAAATTACTATGATTTAAATGCAGTGCCGTATTTAGACATTTTGCACCTCGGCGCAGAAAAAAAAAAAATTCACGCCCCTCTGAGGAGTCTGCTCATGGAAAATATAGGCGATAAACTCTCATGAACCTTTTAGATGTTCTAAAATCAATACTATTTTTGTGTAGTAGGCATGTCACTGCACACCGCACGCGATAACATAATACGCCGTATTATTATGAATAACTTATGTTTAATGACATTATCACTACAAATTTGGGAACTAATATTAGGTATATTAATATTATTCTGGATCGCTGATAGTTATATTGCTATAAATACATTAATAATATATATTAATAAATTTAATACATTAATATTAATTTATGATACTGTTATTAATAACAAAAAAAATAATAATTTCAAAATAATTTTAAAAATTCAATAATTCACAAGTGAGCAAATTTCCAACCACTAAATTTTAGCGCCCCAAAAAAACTGGTGCCCGGGATACTTGTAGCCAGTGCCCCCCCCCTAAATGCGGTCCCGTGTAAATGATTCAATAGTTTTAGATACTCAAAAATATAACAATTAATAATAATAGGTTTGAACACATACAAGATATCTAATAGGTTTTTTATCATTCTATACTACGGAAACTTTCATTGAAAAATGTTTCTATTCATTTTTATTATTTCAACTGTATTATTTTACCATATAAAGAGCAAAAAAAAAAAAAAAATACTAATGAGATCCAAACGTGATACCTTTTAATCATTTTTGGTTTAGTTGATGGAAAATTTGAAAATATCATTAAGCGAATCTCGTGGCAATCATAATTTAAGCTTTTCAAATGTTCAAAAGACAAATAGGTAAAATATAATAGCAATTTTTAAAAATGTTTATATTACTGAATAGTTTGAAACTAAAATATATTTGGCTCTATTATTACAGTATAAATGCAACGTAAAATTGTGAAATTTTTAAAAACAACTAATTGATTGATATAATTTTTACTAATTTAACGAAACGTACTCGATTAAAAAATACCAAATATCATAACACAAAAACTTTAATATAATTTAGTGTACCTATGTATAATTATTTTACGGTTATAATAAACAAGAAAAAATAAATAACAGACAAAATCAATAAAATGTTGAAATAAATAGATAAAAGACTATACCTAAGTAATTTATGAATTATTTTATAAAAAAATATGTATTTTTAAGATCTTAGCTTATATGTATTTTAAACCATTTAAAGAAAATTGAAGAATATTATACTGAGTTAAAGAAATAAAGAATAAATAATAAGATTCTTTTTAAGATTCGTTTACATGTCACAAAGATATGAATACATTTTTATTTCTCAACTAATAATATTTAATCAGTCATACTTTAAGTAAAAAAATAATTGATAAAAATGTAATATTTAAAATATTAAATTATATGTACATATTTAGAGTGACCTATCGTGATATCCCGATGGAAAAATCTTCATGATACCTATACCTAGAGCTATACATTTTTATTGCATTTTTGTTTTAGTACAGTTTAATAGAAGGATACTACATTAAACACTTTTAGACAAATTTGTATTTTCATCTCTAAACCAACTAAAAAAAATCTTTAATTTCTGTAAAATCACATGGTATACATATTACGGTAAAAATTATTTTGAAAGTGTCAATGTACTGCAATCGAAAATCTAATTATTGGTTTCATAATTAACATAAAGTAAGTTTATAAGAGAAGATGAGCGTACCCAATTATTATATTGATTACTGTAATAAATTAGTAAATATTAAATAATTAGCTTTATGACAAACATGTTCATTGATATGACAATTCGACATTGTCAACCGCAGTATAAATATGCAGATAAATAATGCAGCCATATAAATGCCTTAGTATAAAATATATTATTTTAAAATATAAAATCGGTTACCTATCTAATTTGTACTAATTTATTAACTTGTCTTTATGTCGGTTATAGTTATTCTTTTCCAAAACCTTACATTTGCTCTCATTACGAAACCAGTAATTCGATTTTAGAATGCAATACATTGAAATTTTCAAATCAACTTAAAACACTACTTATATATAGAAATGAAAAATTCAAAAGTTAAAAATCTTATTCGGTTAAAAGATAAAAAAAAATTTGACTATGTTTGATGTGTGTTATTGGACCTTCCATTAAACTGTTTTAAAACAAAAATATTTTGAAAGAGTTAATATATACAAAGGTTTTCCCATCAGAGTATTGTGATTAGCTATCGTACCGAATTCCACTAAATTGAATTTAATTACCTACTTGTCACATATAAAAAAAATATTTCAATTACTTCCAGTAAATTTTTCTCCGTATATTATTTCGATCTTAATCAAAGAAAAATGAATTGCATTTTTGTGTGATAATTTAATAATATTTTAAAATCTGATTTAAAACCGGATTTAATCTACGATAAATAATTATAAAATTATGAATTTTTTTCAACACATCTTATATGAACTTAAATATAAATTAAAATACATGCTCCTTCAGTAACAAAAGTAGAATGAATACACCTGAATATATACATAAAAGATTATTTCAAATTATTTTATTAATTCAATAGAAATATTTTTTTATATAATTATCACTTTAACCTTTTAAAATTTAACCATGCTATATCTACATATAACTTAGATACCTTAAATAGTTAAATGAATATAAAGGTACAATTTTAAATAAGTAATCTTTATTTCTAATTTCTTATTTAATCAGACCTATAAATCTAATACATTCATGGTTAATATTTTCAATTACTTCAAAGACAAAATATTTAAATACATTATATATTTTATGTTAACTTCAAAGAAAAACGATTAGACACTACGTAAAAATAACATTTAATTCATACAAATTCTGCCAAGTTAAAATAATACAGATAATAATATTTTAAAAGTGTTAAAGATTTAACCATATACACATACAGGGGCGGAACTAGGGATGGAAGACAGGGATTAATCCCCAGGCGTAAAATTTTAGAGGGTGTAATTTTTATAATCATAATAACAAATTTGATATTTTTAACTTTGTTAAATACTGTTATTAGGCTAAAACTCAATAAGTATGATTGTATATTAATTATTAGAAGAAATTCTCGAGAAGAATATTTGATTATTGGTCTATGATAGAGCGTAATTTTAACACTTTACCCGGGTGTAAAAATTCCTAGTTCCACCTCTGTACACACAATATACTTCCGTAAATCAATATATATATATATATATATATATTGTAAACCATATGCTTAAAATATATTATAGACGCACAGTTGCTGTAAATGAACTTTTATAATGCAAAGTTTTGCGTTACCAAGTACACTACATGAGTACATGTAAAGTCAAAAGTGGAATCTTAACACCTCAAAGCTCGGAAATTCGGAAAAATAGAAACGGTCCCTGAATTTCTTTGCGCGCTGAGCTCCGCTTGAAATCATGTGAAAAGATATCCGACACTTTATTAACTGTTCAAACTCTGCCGCGTGCGTCATAACGCGATACAATTTAAAACCGGCAAAAGATAAACGATAATGCGTACGGATTTACACGCGGGTGTGCGCACAGTACACGTTCAATACGTTCAGGTGTAGTACAGACACTTTGCAATTCCGTTGAAAATATGTTCGATTAATAAGATAATCGATTATTATCGTCGGGACGTGTGAAATTATTTCCAGAGCTTACACGACGACCAGTAGGTAAGGCATGCGTGAACAATATTATATGGTGAAAAAAAAAAAAAAATAAGACAGTTGAAAGACTTACGCGGTGTCGGCGACATTACGACGATGACACGTGTGTGACGAAGCTGTTCGTCCGTCACGGGTCGCCCAGTAATCGGCACGCGGAAGCGTGGTCGGAGAACGGTCACGTGCTGCGGCAGCGTTTGCCGCTACGTGTTCAAGTCGTGTTTGCGCGCGAAAACTCGCGTTCGTCGAGGGCGATAAAACGGCGGACGATCACTACGGAAGTATATCCGTATTATATTTACGTATACATAAATAAATTGTATATTACTGCAGGTGCGAGACGAGCCGGACGGTTTCCCAACAGACGTTATTCCGGTAACGATTGATATTAAATATATTTTCTGCGGTGTGATGTCGACGCACCTCCGACCCTACCTGTACATCGCGTCGTTGACGAAAGTTCTTTTAAAAAAAAACACTGACTACCACAAACGTGGTCGAAAAAATCAAATAAAAAACTACTGGAAATCAGCGCGTTTTCCCTAGGGTTGCGTTTGACTGCCGGTGGCCGGGGTCGGTCTAATGAAGATATAATATTATAAAACGGGCCGGCGCGACCGACCGCCGCCGTCCGAGCCGGGCCCGCGATCCAAGATGGCCGCCAACCAATGGCATCGCTCCCAAGCCACCACCGTCGCGTCGGCTATGCACTCGGATCCCCGACGTTATTATTATTATTATTATTATTATTATTATTATTATATCTTCGATTGAACTACGGTCGCGGTAATATTCTAGTGCATGCGGTCGATTAATATTCTGGAAAATAGTATGCGTGGGTACCTACCGTGGTATAGCGTACGTAGCGATTTAGGAAAACCTTTAAAGGCAGTATAACTACTATAAACTAATATAGTGTTTAAGAAATTAAAGATTTTCAACTCTCAAAGATTTTAATTTTTTTTTACCACAGTGCAACCGTAATTATAATTTTCTGTTTTAGATTACCATTCAATATCTAAAGGAAAAAATAATTGAAGATGGTCAACCTTTTGCATTCGTATTTAATCGTATAACGCGGTATAAAATTACTATGATATATCTATAGCGAATATCCTTTTGGGTTTCAATCATTCAGTATCTTAGTGTACCTATTCACTACGAATTAAGTGTACAAAGTAGCGTATTATTACTAGTGACCTGTAATGGTAAAGCAACTCTCACTAACTCTGTAGACTCCGCTAACCTACGATCATTACACATATGAAGTTATCGGGAGACATGTCCGAAGAGAAATCACAAATAAATTATAAATACATTTGTGATTTTTGTGTATGTATATTATTTACTGGACTACTTTTAATTTTTCGTCCACGGTAACAGAAAAAAAAAATGTGTATACGAATATATTCTACGTCTTAATTGTTGATAACGATATGCACAAACATATATAATTATATATACTGGGTTAAGTATTATATATACTAGGTTAAACTATGTACCTACATGAGTTAATATTATTGAAGTAATGCGCAATGGTAATCGGTCTTGTCATAAGAATTGTTTTGGATTTAGGCATCATAAAAATTCGGAGGTTGTAAAAATGTATAACGCTATGTTAACTACTGTTGCAGTTTAATGTATGTATATAATAACATAATGCACATGTACCTATATATACATACATGTAGGTAAAATATACATAATATGCATAAAATCCGCTCTATAAGATTATATTATTACTGGATTTAAAATCAAAGTTCCTGTATAGAAATTAATAAATATATTTATACAGTATTATTTTTACTTGCTGCAATCCTATATTTTATTGATGTACTTTAAAGTATTTTTATTCCGGAAATTTTATCGACGGAAAACATACGATAACGTACAAATTTTTGTATATATGAAGGCCATAATTATATTTCTATTTATTATGATTAATTCTTAAACTACGGAATTTAACTTTTCAGTCATACTCGAAATGTGTTATAGGTATGTATAAAAAATCATTATATCATAATAAATCATTTATTGTTGGAATTTTTATTTCACATAAGTATATACCTATATAATAAATATTCATCATGGATATATAGTATATATATATATCCATAATGAACGTGGAAGTTTAGATTTTAATAAATTTTAAAACGTTCATATAAAATGTAAAATACATAATATATTTCATTCAAATCTATATGATTAACAACGGGCCGAAGCCTACTGGTATAGATAATTAACATTATTTATAATAATAATATGTATAATTATCTTGTATAAACAATTCTTAAATAAATAATCATAACACTATAGTATGATTATAAACAATTTTTATTATAATTTATATTAAATATTATAATTATTATTACAGTTATAATAACAAAACCATAGCAAAAAGTAATCAAACAACAAACTTTCAATTCCAATTTAATTAGTTGGAAAAATATTATTACCTGTTAAGATTATTGAAATGTTTTTATAAATATATTATACACACCTACACATTTAGATGTACAGAAAATTGTTTAAATGTTTGAAAAACAGTAGGCCTCGCGTATTATATACCCATTATTTCATTGTACTCTTAAATTATGTTCCTATTATACCACACCATTAGTCAATATACCTAAACTTGAGTATACTCATACACACCAATTTATTGTTTGGTAGCTATTGCTTTCATCACGTGTACAAAATAACACTGCATGCTCCATAATATATTCAATATACGTGCTATGTCATGATTGTCATTATAGGGTTATTATTACCGCATGTACATCATAAAGGGTAGAAGACCAAGGCCCACATGCATTTGCAATTAACATATAATAATACCCATTGTAAAATGCTGGCCTCATAAAATTGTTACAAAGGTCGTGTTTACAAGTTTATAATTATATTACTTTATGCGTACGACGTACCACATATTATACAAATATGTAGGTATTCGTTGCGTTTGGGTGCAGTCAGAAATGGGAGAATATATTGATTTTGTCATAAAATAAGTACATTCATCAACCAAATAGAAACTAATAACTATATATATACACTAATAACTTATTAAATATACTTATTATTTACTCATATATACAATACAATACTCAAAAAACTAGCACGAAACAGACACCGATGGATTTTAATTAATTTCGTTAGATAAATTCGAGAAAACATTCAATTTTCAACAAAGTTTATTATCGTTGAAGCTGGTGTACATTTCGGAGATTCTCATGGAAATCTTATAGCGTATGGATAAATCATATATGTACGTCAATACACACGCTCAGAAACTATATCGTCGCTTGTAAAATATTTCATATAATATAGTTTTAATAAATAAATAATTTACGTTTTCTTTACATACTTTATAAGACACATTTCTGCAAGTTATTCATTATTGCGGGCTTTACTATAGCGAAACATTGGTAAATAATATATTATAAAATTATGCTTTTGGCGCCATAGGAGATTATGTATAATATATGCATAAACGGGGTGAAAAGTATAAACGCGAGCGCATTTCGTTTTTATAATGTGGTCGTCAAAATAAAAGTCGGTTTAAAGACGCGACATGGTACCTACCTACCGTGAAAACTTTTCGGTAATAACGGTCAACCGTTATGTGTGGTAAAATTTCCCTTAGTAATTTTTAGCTTTTTTTTTTTTTTGTTCGTTCCGTTTAATAGCAATAACAACGACGAGCGGGAGTATTATGCGAAAAGTTTTGCACGTATACATCATCGCAGAGGGCCGTAAATAATTCTCAGGCTAAATAACGACAAATATTAATAACATCCAGTCGTAAAAAGACAAACTGATGGGGGAAAAATCTCAACAAAAACGTCAGAAACAAGACGGAGGTATATACTACTTGTACCCACGTGTATAGTAGATATATTCATAATTTGTGTTCTATGCAAAGATAGCACAGAAAATACGAGTAGAATAGACACAAAACTGGTTCAGGAAAAAATACAACGAGTGAAGTGCATAATGACTTATATATTACACGTAATTTTGTATTTTGAGATATTGAATATTAGTGTTATTTAGAGGGAAATTCCTACTTAAAAATTCTAAGGAAAATACTAATACTTATGAGGAATAAAAGAGTCACACTGAAATTATTAAAATACAGCCAACTGTGTTGTTATTGATTGTTTACCAAAATTATCGGGTAATCGAATAAAATAAATGTTATCAAGTTCAATCAATGAAACACAGTTTCAGAGTAACAAATAATTTTTCTACAGCCGAAATCTTTTGTTTTATTAAATTTCACGACCGACGGAAATAGCTATAAACTAGATACTAATACACTAAAAGAGGGGTCCGCAACCTTTTCATTAGAAAGAGCCAAATTTTTTTTAATAAATTATAAGACCATAGCGTCCAAAGAGCCGCACTTTGTTTGAATAAAATATTTTTTTTAGTCGTACGATTAAAAAAAAATTATTTAAATACAATTTTTATATAAAGAAAAACGTTTTGATGTTGCAGCCTATTCTAAAAAACCGCATGCTGCTCTAGAGCTGCAGGTTGCCCACTAAAACAACATAATATTACGACGAGTGGTAGGAGCCGTGTAAGGGTATACCTACGTCGACGACCAATGATAAAAAGATACGACGGAAATCCTACGGGACTTGGATTAAAGATAAATATCTTACGGTTCGCGGAAACAATGAATTTATGGTCGAACGCTACGATGTTTCATGTTTCTAATCAGCATTCGACTCGTAGAAGAAAAAAAACGAACCGCTTCATATTTCAAGGGGTAAAATGGATTTTTACCGCGATCGAATATTTTTTTAGTTTTATATTAAGATAAACCATCTATATAATAACAAACGCATAATAAGAATTTATTTGATATATTCGAATGTTCAAAAATCAAATCGAAGCGTTTCAACGCGATTGAACGTTACGAAACGTTCAAACGTTGCAAGAATACAGACAATTATCTAGATAAGTAAAAATTTTATCTTAGATAAGTAATTAAATAACTTAGCGTTATTTATCTATATAAGACAAAAGATGACAAAAAATCTATCTAGATAAGTCCCAACACTGTAAATAACGTCCCATTTCAACGTCATTGTTAAAAGTTTGAATTATAACACCTAATATATTTTATACAACATGTATGTGACCTAAATAATGTTACAACATATATGTGCATAAGACCCGTTTTAAGATATGTTTAAAAACTAATATTTCAAACTAAACTATTGTTATTTCTGTATAAAATATAAAAATTATTTTTAGGTTTCAATTTGTGAAAAGTATATATTATATATTTGTCTTTTAGTTTTCACGCTTTTTTGGAGCACCGATAATTATATATTTTATATAATGAAGTTTTTATTAGCTTTTATTAGTATTAAAACGAAAAATTAAAATACTGAATAAATTATAAACAGAAACGAACGCCGGAAAAAATTTCGGGGAGATTTTAAAAATATGTAAAATGTAACGTGTTGAAATACCATGCTTTATTACTTTATATATAATATTTATATTTTTATATATTTTATTTACAAGTCTCATGAGAAACTTTGAAGTAA